ATTCAGAATCATAACTAAGCAAAAAGATACATAAGAAACATACATATTTTCCTTTTCTATGCCTTCATTTTTCTTCCTCCTCTATTGTTCTCTTATATTTATTTTGTACATATGCTCCTTGGGGTTAAGGATTTTTTATTTCTACTCATTGTAAACATATCCTTACTTGAGATGATAATACTTTGGCCTCTTCTCCCATAAGAGTACTTACTTGAAACCCAGAAAAAGCCACAGAAGCCAAACCCAGGAGAGTATTAAAATAATAACAGTGATTGGGATGCAAAGAAGAAACCAGGATCCAAAATTAATGCATTGGCAACCAGGATATCGTCTGAAAAAATAAAAATGAAATTTGAGTTGGTCTTTGAATATGAATAGAAAGATGTTTCTTAAACCAAGATCCACAATGGCTACACAGATGATAAACCTTAAGAGAAAATCTATCCAACTTTCATCTTAATGGATGACTACCCTCCAGGAAGTAAAAATTGAATATTCACTATCAGCAATTTAGAGTTTTGCACCAATTGGCCCATGGTGGAAGGATTTTAGAATACCCCAGTCATTGAAGTAGAGATGACTTCTTTTTAAATTGTCTTCTATCAGTTAATTAAAATTCTTCCAGATAACACTTTATATGAAGATGGTGTTTTATCTGTTATCAACGTGCTTTATAGTGGATATGATGTTCTATTAATTTTTTTTACAGTAATCATTGTTAGTTGTGTAGATTAGTGTATATGAGAGGAGAAATAGAAGAAAAGACCTTTCAATAGAAATCCATTATCTTCAGGCCTGGCAGTTCCAAATATTGAATTACATGGATCTTTGATAAGTAAGCATAATTGTAGTCAGAGCTTTAACATCTTATTCATGGTTAAATCTCATATGATCTCCTCAGCACAGTAATTAATACCCCCTGACCTGCAACAATCAGTAGCTTAACAAATGCAGATATATATTTGTTTCATCATCAGAAAAGCTTTGGATGATTTTTATTAAACTCTTTTTGGAACAAAATATTCAGTCCAGATTTGACAGCTATAAATTAAGAAAGGTAATACCTTTTTATTGTATTAACTGTTCTATCTAAACTACAGGTAGTCNTAGACATTCCCGGCCGTCTGAAATTTCCAGGAGGCCCATTTTTTGCCCTCCCCGAGCTTCTACATGGGCCCTGTAGTTGCCTAGCATCCTAAATGGGCTATGTGGAGACTCCTGGGAGGGGAGGGGAGGGGTGGTGTGGTGTGGGAGGGGCAGGGAGGGGCCAGCCAGGGGTGGGATTTGCAGGTTTGTTGAACTGGACAGATCCTTAGCTAGAGGATCACACAAACCCATGTGAACCTGCAGCAGCTCACTCCTGGCTCCAGAGTAGCTGAGGAGTTCTCTTTCCCCAATGGGATTAGCCCAACCCACTCATGTTGGTACAAGAGCCCCAATACAGACTCCATCAGCCAAGGAATTGCATCTAGCAGAGTTCAGGAGAAGAGCCTCTTGTAGCCTTTGGAACATCATGCTGCAGAAGGTGAGAGCTGCCCCCACTCATCTGGCCTTCAGGATATGTCTTAAAACATGGTTATGCCAATAAGCATTTAGTCCTGAAGGAAAAGCTGGAGTGGCTGGTGCAGTAACAAAGAACGCACCACCCCTTCTATGCTCCAGACCGATAGTTTTTTCATTTGCCATAATCTTTTGAAAATTTCTTTTGAAATTTTAATCTTTTTATATTTCTAATTGTTTTAACATTTAGGGGTTTTATGTTGTAAATCACTCAGAAACATCAGAAACAGTGAGATGAGCAGCATATACTGTACGTGTAATAAACTTTAATAATGTTGGGAATACTGATATATAGAATGGCAATAACTTAATTAGGAATAAAAAAAATGTCCCAACTCTCTGAGGAAGCTAAAATTTTAAACGTGACTTTGAGATGTTCTCCTTTGTCTTAATATGCAAATTAATGTGGAATTGGAACACCAAACCACCTGCATGTTTTACCTTATCTGGAAAGTCAGGGTAACATTGTAGATGTCATAATGCTTCATATTAATAATTATATAATATTATTCAATTGACTTTATAACTGAAACCATAACATGTTAATCTGACTGTAATAGCTATTCTAATCTTTAAAACAAGTGGGATAAATTATTTTAAGTACCTTTTCATTTTCAATGTCACACACAGCTTGAGCAGTTCCATTGCTGTATCTGGAAAGAAATGTTTGCAGTAATAATTATTTTAGTGCTAATAAAAAAAGGTAAATCATATAAATGTTTTGCTCTTTCTCTCTATATATATTACCCTTCAACTTTAGTGGATTTCCAATCAGGTGTTTCACACTCACTAATGTTTTCTATGAAAACAAAAACAAAAAGTTCAAATGAAGGGGTTGTTTTTTGCTCAGGCAATCTTTCTCCAAATGAGCTTAAAAATGGGTTGAAATTACTTACCGTCAAGTTCCAAGGCAGGATTACTGGTTCCATTTGCATATGTCATATCCATTGCATCTACTTCGGCTTCTGCATTAATGATTTGCTGAGCCACCGCTTCTACAATTGGCATCACCATAGCAGCAGTAGAAGTGTTGCTAAGCCACATCGATAGAAATGCACAGCTGACCATAAAACCAAGGGTGAGCCTGAAATAATAGTGAAAAGTCCATCTATGTCTCCTATTAACACTCAACTTAATATGAAGTAATTATAATATTAGAAATTTGAGTTAGCACCTCCTGACCTTCTACTAAAGTTTCTAATTCTTTTCTCTATGTAGCTGTAGTATGAACAAATTAACTTAGCACTTTGGCCATTCAAGCAGAATTGGACTCTAAGAAGATAACAGTAGAATGTCATCTCTAATTCATCTATCTCACTTTTGTTTACACTAACTGCCAGTGGTTCTTTGATGGTTGAAGCAAGGATTTTCCTAAGTATGACTGGATTTTCAGCAGACCAAAACATGGACTTGCAGACAATGTGTTGATACAAGCTGCAGCTCTTCCTTTACCCATACAGTTTAGTATATGAACCTCTAGATGATGTACAGAAGTGTCCATAAGACTATGGGTCTGTCTCAGAGCAGCACTGTTGCAATGCAATCATCCCATCTCTTTTTATATATGCATCATTGAGAAAGGCAAAATATTGCCATGATGTAACAATTCTCCTTTCTTCATTTTGATGAAAACATCAGATCCTATGTATGCCTCTAACAATAAGAAAATATGTACAAATTGAATCCTGAAGATGAAACTCAAATACTATGGCCACCTAATGAGAAGGAAGGACTCACTGGAGAAGAGCCTAATGCTGGGAAAGATTGAGGGCAAAAGAAGAAGGGGACGACAGATAATGAGGTGGCTGGATGGAGTCACTGAAGCAGTAGGCCTGAGTTTAAATGGACTTCAGAGGATGGTAGAGGACAAGAAGGCCTGGAGAAATGTTGTCCATGGGGTCGCGATGGGTCAGACATGACTTCGCAACTAACAACAACAAAAAATTGAATTGTCAAAATATTAAGTTTTCAAACTTGGATGTTTTTTTCCTCAAGTGTTCTACACAAGAAATTTTCACACAATGGAATCAATTATTATTCTTTTTATATCATGCATATATAATATGTGCATTTCAAGTGACTATACTTTCAAAGATATCAACATTAAAACAACCTAGAACCAATTTGTATCTGTAACAGAACTTGTTGATCTCAGTGAAATCATTTAACCATGGGGGAGAAATCAAGCAAGCATGATGAAATGCCATCACTTTCTGGGGGGAAAAGAAGAGAAGATGAAAAAAGTACTACAAAAATACTGTCCAATAAATTCAAGTCATGTGACTTTTTCAAGTTATGCAAGTTTTCTCAGAGAAAAATAACCAAAGCAACTTTGAATAATATTTGCCAAATTTGAATGAACAGATGCATCTAATGCATTGAACTGAATCAAGGTGACTCTGAATCCATTTGAAGATTCATTGAGTTTTTCCACACCTAATAGCTGAATAGATTTGATTCAGCTGACAGTTCGTGAATGTACAATGTTCTAAATTTATACCATAATGTAAAAGATACCACTAGTCAGTGGTGGGTTGCAGGGGTGCGTCAGGTACAGTCCTCTGGAGGGCCCACCCGCCCGCGCTCCTTACTGGTGCTTTATGTTGTTGGTGCTTCCAAGCATGTGCATGGTGCATATGGCACCTGTGCAATGCTCCGTGGAGCAGCTGGAGCATCATGGAGGCTTGCAGAAGCATCATTTGATGCTAGATTGCATGTGTGCATTGCGCGCATATGCACATGCGCCACACACGTGCATGTGGGAATCCGGAACTCACCACTGCCACTAGTCTACATTCTGGTAAAGGCAAGATTTACAAATAATAGATTCACTAAATGGGATTCTAACTTTAAATAGTTTTGTTATAAAAATGTATTTGAAACCTGAAAGTGCACAACTGATTTCGGTAATTATTTTTAACACACTAGAGTTGCATCATCAAAGTTTATGATATTTGATATGCACAAATGGGTGAAGAAGCATGAAATACCCTACATTACTGGAACTTTCCATATTTCAAATTAATTAATTAATTTCAAGGTCCCTAGATTTTTTCCTATTAGGCCATTTCTTAACAATTTTTTTTTGGAGCATCAAAACAGACAGACTTGTAAAAAGGTCTCACTTTTCTATCTGGAAACAAGGCAGGAGTAGAAATCAAATCTTGGAGTTAGCAACACAAGGAAACAACAGCCAATCACCATCACACCAATCAACCAATAGGAAGGCACCACATAAATATGATGCATAGAACAGCCCAAAGCACACATTCTAGTAGAGAGAAGTTCCCTGATGAGGGGCTCCAGAATGAGTCCGAAAGAGACTAAATCTCTGATCCCAGTGACTGATCAAGACTGGATCTTTCAGCATTATCCTGGGACATTTATATTTGTCTTCATTTGTGAAAAATCAAATTCATTCCACGTGTACAATTGGGAATTGCTTCATCGTAATGTGATGGTTGTGATGTATGTTTGTACTTATTTTGCTTTTAGAAACTTGCTTTGTATTTTATCTTATTTCAAAAAGGGGGATGGAGGATGGGACAAAAACATTGAATGATCAGTTCAACCACATGATCAAAATCTTGTGTATGTAAAAGGGGAGTAGCATTTATAACATGACTCCTTGACTTTTTTTTAAACACACACATATAGACATGCAGGAGATGATCCCATTCATTTGGTGAAGTTTCCTTGGTACCTAATTGCTATGGTTTCTGTCAGTGTCTTGCACCCCAGTCCAACTAATTCTTTTCTATAAAGATTTTCCAAAGATTTTCTTCTAGTTAGATTGCCTCCAATAAGCTTTTACTGCCAACTCCTGAAGTTTCTTTTCCAACTGAGAAATTACATCCTTGGAACACCTGCTCAGTTACTCACACAGCACAGTTGCTGACAGTACTGTATTTTCATTTGATATAGGAAGCAGAGTCTAGCATAAGAATTTTCAGCAATGTGCCAACATGGAAATGCATCAAATCATACTCTACATGGAAGAGCAGCCACTGACTTGCCATTTCATTGGGATAACCTTGAACAATTTTGTACCATTGCTCCCATGATACAATGCAAATGAAAGGCAATTCTGGGACAAATTCCATTTGTGATATTGCCTCATTTTTAATACAATTAATTATTGCCATGTATGAATACTCCTTGTTTTAATTTATGCCAAGCAGCACTAGCCTAAGTAATTGTTAAAGATTGTACAGATCTTTAAAGATGAATATTCAATCATTGTAATGAGTAATGCAGAAAAGGTAGGCTTATTTAAACTTGTGAAAAAATTTTTTAACAGTTTTTCCTAATGTAAATCATAATGTGTTTGGAAAATGCTCGCATGACTCCATGTTACTAAAACAAAAAGAAAGAAATCCCAATACTGTGAGCAGCCAGGATGTAATCAAAGGCTTGCTATAGTAAGATAAAACAAATTTCTCCCCAAATCTTTTTCTAATAATGTAGCAGTAGCAACTTTTGTTATTGTTGTTGTTTTTGTTTTAGCAGCGCTATCTCAAATGATCTCAAATCATGCATTAAGAACAGCCAGATCATCCTAGGCAATTAATTTCACAAAGTTGAATCCACTCAGGCTGCAGGTATTGTGAAGTCAACTGAACCAGGGCCTTTTTACCAAAGTACTTCTGACATTTATTGATCCTCTTCCCCAACCTCTTTACAGCTGATGGTTACACTGGGGTATTCTCTTAATAAGGGAAACCTAATGAAAGCCTTTATACCATAGGTTTTGCAACCTCTTCAAAGAGTATATAACTTTTTGAAGACGTCATGGGGTGTGAGAGGATAACGATCAGTATCACCATGAGTTATTAAAAGTAACTAAAGCTAATAGGCTTTTCTTCCTTTTCTTCCAGTTCCCTGGGTGAAAGACTTGGGTAGTGTACATGGTCAATAACCCGCAATAATTCTAACTAAAGAATAAAACACATTGTATAAGCATAAGGCAAAAGAGATTGGATTACCACATTAAATTAATAATGCACGTTTAAAGCAAGGAGGGAAGGAACCAAAAATGTCCTAATGGTGAGAACAATGAAATAGTGGAATGGCTTGCCTTCAGAAGTTGTGGGTGTTCCATCTCTGGAGGCTTTTAAGAAAAAACTGGACAGCCACTTGCCTGAAATGGGTCTCCTACTCAAGCACTGGGTTGGATTAGAAGACCTCTAAGGTCCCTTCCAACTCAGTTATTCTATGTTATTATTATTAAAATATTTTGTCCCAGTCCTTTTACATCATAGCCCCTGAAATACTGTTCAAAGGTGTGTTTGGATCTCATACATACAAAGATTGGGCACTTCTTACATAAATAGGAAATTTGCCACACAGAACATTTTACAGTTTGAGATTAACATACACACTTATCTCTAGAGCCGAGGTGGCGCAGTGGTTAAATGCAGCACTGCAGGCTACCGCTAGATCAGCAGTTCAGCGGTTCAAATCTCACCGGCTCAGGGTTGACTCAGCCTTCCATCCTTCCGAGGTGGGTAAAATGAGGACCCAGATTGTTGGGGGCAATATGCTGACTCTCTGTAAACCGCTTAGAGAGGGCTGAAAGCCCTATGAAGCGGTATATAAGTCTACTGCTATTGCTATTGCTATTGCTATATGTTAATGTACTAACTTAAACCTGGCCAATTTTTATTTCAAGCATGCAAAACAAAAATAATCCTAAACAAGTAGGGTAAATTAATTATTGGGTTATCTTATTAATAATAATTATTTATAAATTATAAAATGTATAAATTACATTAAAATTAATTTTTGGAAGTTGCCTTCAGGGTCACCCCCCCCCTATTTTTGACCATTTAGCCTATATCCTATATTTTAAACTACTAATTATTAGTTGAGGAGCTTTTGATTAAAACAAATTGCTGTTGTATACCGTTAGGTTAAAAAAAAGTATAATATAAAGTCAATTATATTTTAATATCTGTTTTAAACAACTTTAAATAGTGGTGTGTAGGGTTTTTTGCTTTATGAAACAACAGAGCTATGTCACACATTTTAAACCACCAATTGTTTGAGTAGAGGTTCTCAGTTACTGTTAAATTACTGTTAACA